GGAGCTGTGTTTTGGCGTAGCCTATTTCTCTGGGGGAAATGTTGTCCCTTCCTGGACTTTTTCCGGTTTGTGTCTTGTCTGGCCAATTTTCTGTTCCTAGGTTGCATTTGTGAAAGCTATGCCCAGGGAGAATTAAAGCATTTCTCAGAGCTCATGGACTGGTAGGGTCATGGTGGTCACGTGACTCAGCAAATGCTGAACCCAAGCCTATATTCACTGATCTACTCCAGCACAACACTCACCTCTCTGCCTATGTGTTGACCCCTGCGTCTCCTTTTAAGCTTGAGGGGTTAAGCAAGCAATCATGCTCATACAAAATGGGACACCCTAATGGGGCATTTGAGACAGGAATTCATGGATTTCACCACCCATACTCCACTCAATGAAGTGGTTCTAAAGTGATATTTTTATCTGCAGAATTTTGATGGTTTTGTTCTATTTTTTTTTTTTTTTCTTCAAAGAAGTGGTTTCAGGGAAGCACAGCATTGAAGAAAGTGTCTGAAATTGGCATTGAAACAATTTACTCTGATGCAGAAACTGTCAGGTACTCATAATAGATAAAACTGAGTTTGGGTGTCAGAGATTTCATGCAGAGTCAATATGAAATCTGTATTAGGATTAATGGAGAGACAGAATCAATAGGATAAGTACATAGACATACAGATGGGTCTTTATTAGGGTAATTAGCACACGTGATTATGATAGCAGAGAAGTAATGACAGGTTATCTGCTGGCTGGAGACCCCGGGAAGCTGGTAACTCTCAGTCCAAGCCCACGGGCTTGAGTGTAACTCTCAGAGGATGGAAGCCTGACTGCCTGCAATGGGGAGGGGACCTGTAGAAGTCCTGGAATTGCTATAGAACAACCCCAAACTACACTGGAGGAGTTTTAATAGAACCCCTGGACCTGGGTCTCCTTGCCTGACTCATAGAAAGCCAGTCACTGACACCTAGGGTGCTGGAAAAAAAAAACGTAGGCACGTCTTGCTTTGCACAAAGCAAGGAGCCAGGCAGCTGTCATGCAGTTCCCAGGATTCGACAGAGAGGAAAGGCAGTGAATGCTTTAGTCCAAAGTTGGGGATGAGCAGTTCATGATCAGCTCATATGGGCCTCCAGCTGGTCCACGGTGTGTGTGGCCTTTCTTTGATTGGTTTGTGATAGGGACCAGTGGGCCTCCTATGCAATGGCAAAAGGTAGGCTCCAATCTGTGTAGGTCTAGGGGTAGATAGGGTATTGGCTTTCTTTGATCCAGACTTGGAAGTTCCTGAAAAAAATCTCACTTTAAGTCTAACTCTAGAGTGTTAGTTACAGAGGTGGTAAGTGAACTTCAAGTCCTGAAGTCTGGAGTTTTGCCTGTGAGTTCTTTCAAGAGCTCTCAGAAGAGGTCAGCGTTGAGATAGTGAGTATGTTAAGGATAGGGACAGTTGTGCTACTCCCTTCACTTGCTAGACAACCTCTTGTGACATTGAGACTTTCCAAACTCACTCTTCACTTCTGTGTGTGCAGTACGTACTTGGGCCACCCTACATTTTACTCAAGTAACCCAGGGAGCAAGGGGAACCAATGTGAACATGAAGTGCATGCTGCCTGCTGAATGGAGCAGGCACGTGTGTGAAGCTGTGGCTAGTTGGCTCCTTAACCTGCAATAGGATAAAATCGACTCTTGATGGCTCCTTACAGCTGACCCTAGCCCTTGGTTTCACAGAAGGGCATGTGAACTGGAGCTGACCAGTGGGAGCAGAGCAGGCTCCTGGTCACCGAGCTCACTTTGGGATGGTCGTGTGACCCAGGTCAGCACATGGAAAGGATCTAAAGGAGTTTTGCTGTGGTATTGGGCTGGAGATGTAGACTACAAGCCCAACTACCTTTGCTGTCCCATGGAGAGAACCCTTGAGAATGAATCCCCCACAGAGCAAAGCCGAACTGAGGAGAGAGAGAAGGAGAGCGAAGGAGGAAGTGAGATTGATGGAGACTGAAGTTGAGGTTGAATTCATACAGTAGTGTGGATTGAAGGCCTAGATATTTCACTGCCTTTTTGGTTACATGGTTATATAAACCAGTGCATTCCTTTCTTTGCGTACACTAGTTTGTGTGAGATTTTTGATATTTGCAAGTGAAAAAGTTCAGTAGTATACAGTTGCAAAAGGGAAGAGAAGACTAAATCTTCAAAGGACCACCCTTCACTCAACAGAGAATTGAAGCTTTGCTATACTAAGGCCACTCTTTCCCCCCAAATTGGGAACAAACCTACTTTATTTTCTAAAAGCCAGCAATATAGAGTTCTCCAGTCATGCTTTTTTGTATGGGCAAACAGCCCTCAGGTTTCCTCCCTACTCTAAAAGAGCTCTTAGTGATTTCTGTTCATTAGGGCATGGAGCCCAGTGTCTCTTCTCGGACTGCTTCCCAAGCAGTTGGTTTTTTTTATGCTATCCATAAGTGTTTTCATGTTTGTTTCCCAAAGGTAATTTGAGAATTTTAAATCAAAGCAAATACAGAGTGCCCTGGAGAGGCAAGGTGAGTGCAGTGATAAAGGCCAGAACATGGAAGGTTGCAGTGCTTTGGAGCTAAATCTGGAGCCAAACCCATATTAGGAAGTTAGGAATGTGGGATTTTAGGAGTGTTTGAACCTAAATCCATCGTTCAGAGCTGGCGGATGGCTTTGTGGAGGAACAATGATCAAGTTGAGGTTAGATTCCCAGGCAGATATTATTGTTGTTATGACTCAGCAGGAAAATGTTGTAGAGTTTAGGGTGAACCCTGAGAAGTGAAAGGAGTGACAGGTGCTTTCAGGACTTTTTTTTTTTTAAAGGAGCGATCAATTTTGCTTTTTCTTTTTGTTATATGTATTGTATATGAATGCACACTCATATATGTATATATCCTTATGTATGCTTGTGCACACATGTGCACATGCCCACTTGTATGCATGTGTGTGTATGTATGAATGTGCAGCTGGGCATTTATCTTCTGGTTTTGAGGTGCAGAATCATATTCATGTGCCAAGATCTCATTACTAATTTTACAGAAAAAGCGGTGTTTTATTACCAGTGTCCTTTTACCTCTCCAGTAACAGTTTCAAATGGGGGTTGTGGAAGGGCATCAAGAGGGAATATTTGAAGTTCATCAGGTAACGTTGTAGAAGGGATGCTAATTGATTAATGGATTTAAAAATGGAAAATCTGAAGATAAAAGCAAAATGTGAGCAAAGAACACATTTAAATACTGAAATTTTATGAAATGGACACATGCACAGCTGTCTCCAGTTTCTTCTTCTCCTGACGTTTTTCTGACTTCTTGTCATACAAACCAGGCATTGGTCTCCTAACCAGTTTATCACTGTTCTGAAATGATTCCCTGATAGCCAACCAGGCACCCCCTCACTTAAATTCACACTGTGCCGGAGAAGACGTGCCTTTCCCTTCCTAGCTCTCCGTGTCCCACTTCACCAAGGCCACACCAACCCGAGGCCTGGGTTAGAGCTGCACGAAAGTTACAGAATTGCTTTATGCTGTCAGCTAAATGTCATAGCTTGATTTCCATTTGACCCTAAGGAAGGAAAATTTTGAATGTTGCTTTCCTATTTTAATACATGCACACATTCCACATCCCCTCTCTGAAAGTTAATTTCCTGGTTAGTTGTTTGAGGCTGCTTCTGGGATTTGTCACCAGTGAGATGAAGATGTATGAGGATTGCACAGAAGTTGCAGTCCTTTTAAATTTTTAAGAGGAATTTTCACTTGAGAGCAAAATTTTAATTGGACATCTAAACTTCCAGATAAGCTTTTGTTCACCATTTGTCATGAATTTATGGGGAGAATGAAAAAAAATCAATATTCTACTGTACTTCTTTCATCCTAAGGAGGTTGAAAGATTTCAGCTGCAAAGTGAGAAGATCAGAAGAGAAACAGATTTATAAAAAACACCCCCATCTTACCAGTGTCATTTGGAAGAACAAACCCGTTCTAAGGCAATTTCTGATCTCCTTTCCAAAGGCCATCACTATTAATGGGCTACCATGAAGATGAGAAACAAGAAGAAGGAACAAAGAGGAAAATGGAAAGTGTAGTTTTCTATTCTTTATAGTCTTTGGGAAAGAGAACCCAGATGTAAATCTGAACAATTTGCAAACATTTAAGCTATACTTTCTGCCAAATTTAGGTGCCTTTGCCAATCAGGGCAAGAAGCATCACTCTCTGAAATAACTCCAAACAGCTGGAAAGTGGCAAATGGGGCAGAACTTCCCAAGCCTAACTTTCAAGGGACCATTCCTAGATGTGATCAGATTTCTTTGTAATACAGTGATGTCATTTAATACTTTAAAAAAAAAACAACTGCAATTTGATGAATATGTTTGAGAATTTCCTAGGTTCTTATTGTCTGACTGCTTTGGTAATAAGGGAAGGGGGAATAGTATCTATTCTTCATCCATTGTAAAGTTCATGGCAACCATAGCAAAAGGCAGATTAACAGGAAAAAAGCATAAGTTGACTTAACCAAAGTTTTACATGACATGAGAGCCTTTAGAAATGAATACCCAAAGACACAGGGAAAACTATTTTTATGTTTAAGGTCAATGAAAAATGGATAGTCAGTCATGTAAAAATCCAGTTGAACATGAAGGAAATATAGCCTAATGGTAATAAACTGGGAGAACATGGAAAGAGTTGCTTGTTCAGAAACTTCAAGAGGGAAGATCACAGAGACCTTCTGTTTTTGCAGGTTTCTTAATTTCTTTCAGCTTAATATACTTAGTGTGCAGGTAGTGTTTTTTACAACTCAGCAGTATTGTATATGAAATGGTTTCATTTTTTCTGATAATTACTACCTATTTGCTCTAGCAAAACATAACTTCTTTTTTTATTAAAACAATCTCACTGAAAGTTTTTAGGCCTCAGTGTTACCAATTATAAGTTTAATCTCCCATTTAATTGTTATTTCATGTTGGCCATCCTCTATCTTTCTATATCTTTTTTACATGTTTATTTTTTCTTTATTTGAAAGGCCAAGTTACAAAGAGAGGAGGAGAGACAAAGAGATCTTTGATCCGTTAGTTCACTCTTGAAACGACAGCAGCAGCTGACGCTGGACCAGGCAGAAGCCAGGGTCCCAGAACGTCTTCCAGATCTCCCGCGTGGGTGCAGGAGCCCAAGCACTTGGCCCATCTTCTGCTGCTTTCCCAGGTGCATTAGCAGGGAACTGGATCAGAAATGGAACAGCTGGGTCTTGAACTGGTGGCCCGTATTGGATGCCAACATCACAGATAGAGGCTTACCTTGCTCTACCACAATGCCGGCGTCTGCCTTTCTGAACTCCCTCACATCTCTCCAGGGAAGCTAACTTGGTGAGTCATCACATATTCTCTCATACCTTCTTGGATAGACTTGCCCGATGTTGGAACAATGAGGAAAAGAATGAGATGGAAATACTGGCTTCCACATGTGACATGGTGGAATTGCAGATTTCTTCTGAGTTGGTCATAATTGTTGGCCCAGTCTATGCCTTTGTCTTTGTCATCCTTAGAAATGGATGAGGGCTCTATCAGTTTCCTGATAAAGGCTATACTTGCATGTGCCCTCTTGTGGAAGACCCACCATCTTCTGTCTGCTCCCTAGCTTGAGATGTCTCATCAGTTTGCTTACCTATGACAGTGCCTGGCAAGGCTGTAATACAGGGTCATCTGGTATCTGTAGCCTTCCTATCTCTGTGGTCTACTGGTCTACTGGCATGTTGAGCTCTAGTGTACTTATGTCATGTGAACAGAAAATTTGTGTGAAGTTTTCCCTTTTGGCCCATTGCTACCCAGTTCCCTTTGCCTACCTTCAAGATTATAGGGGAATTGCTAGCAAGCTCAGTGACTAAACTGACATCCAGTGGGGACGTCCCAAGTCATCTCCCTTTTACTTGAAACCTCTCTTCTTCCCAGTTTGCGGGAGGGAATAGCTGATTTTGAGGAATTCTTCAGTCTCATCCTCTTCTTTCCGCCTCCTTGTTCTACTTTTATATCAATAAGGTGGATATCAGCGGGATGAGGCTGAGAGGAGAGAGTTAATGTTGATTCTACTGATCTGTTGTTACCTTTCAATAAGCCCTGTGGGATGCTGGCTCCTTCTTTGACCCTAGAATGTGGAATATTTAATGCATCTGCCGTCTATCACAAGGAAAACAGGACTCTAATCCTAATATCATACTTTCACGTTCAATCAGTGCATTTTACTGGAAAAGGAGAGGACCGAATAGGGAAACATGTGAATTAAATCATGAAATTTTTCTGTGTAGTAGCCCAGGAAATGGTGGCAGTAATCCAAAGGATGTGAAATATCCCCAGAACCCAGCATAATTTGGGCACATGCCGGCTAGGTAAATGTGGAAAAAGGGTTCCAAATTGCTATGACGTTAAAAGGCAATGGTGGGGGCTGGTGCTTTAGCACAGTGGGTTAAAGCCCTGGCCTGAAGTGCTGGCATGCCATATGGACACAAGTTCTAGTCCCAGCTGCTTCTCTTCCGATCCAGCTCTCTGCTGTGGCCTGGGATAGCAGTAGAAGATGGCCCAGGTCTTTGGGCCCCGGTATCCACGTGGGAGACCCAGAAGAAGCTCCTGGTTCCTGGCTTCGGATCAGTGCAGCTCTGGCTGTTGCGGGCCTCTGGGGAGTGAACCAGCAGATGGAAGACCTCTCTGTCTCTACCTCTCTCTGTAACTCTTTCAAATAAATAAAATAAATCTTAAAAAGCAGTGGTGTCATTTTGCTGTTGGGAAGATTAAATTGAAGAAAAAGTAATCCTATAAGAAAGACTCCCTCCCCTTCCAGTTCTTCCAGAATTCCAGTATCTGTTTCTCTTGCTCTGTCCACATAAAACTGCACTGGGAAAACTGGAATTGTCTGTGAAGTGGCCATACTGAACAGTGATGGTTGTCAACGCTAAGTGGCTATTTTGAGACCTTGAATTTTGCCTGAGTGGCATTGAAAGCCTTACTTCTGGAGCTCAATGGACTCAGAGGCCGTGTGCCTAGAAACAGTGGTTCACAGCTGCAGTGAGCAAGTGAATGAATGCCAAACCGCACCACCTCCAGAACCAGCTAGGCACCCTCTGCCCTGGGCCTTACACTGTGGAATGCCTCACTGGCACCTCCCATCCACCCACCACAAACACACGTACACACCCTGGGTTGGATAAGGAGCATATGATGTCTGTTACTCAGGATTTAGCACTCAGCATTGGCAGCGAAAGCATCCACTCTAGTGACTGCTAATACTGTTCAGGCCCCAGGGAACTGCTTTCCCACATCTCGCCCCCTGTTCTCAAACAAAAGATGACTGCTTCTGAATTCCACGGAGAGATCTGTGGGTTGTGCTTTCTGAAATGGGCTCTGCTTTGGAGTGTGGAGAGGATGTAACAGCCAAAGCACTTAGGTGAGACAAAAGCCTAATTAAATTGTAAAACCCTTCTCTCTGTGTGAGTCTCAGAGTTTGCTGCATAAAAAAAGTGTTATTTTTCAGTAGGACTAAGCATCCATTGTCTTGCTTCTCTTCATGGTTCTAGAGGTATCTGTGAATAAGTGTGCTCTTTGAAATAATGGCACACCCTACGTTTTGCAATATTAAATAGCCACTCATTCCCATCAACAGAAGACCCAGATGTGCACAATAACAATTAAATGTAGCTGTTTTTGATAGTCTGCTTACTTTCAGTAATATAAAAGCCATAATTTTATATACATTTAAAAAATTGTGTAGCTATGAAGAGTTTTTCAAGATAGGAGAATACAACATTTTATTTAGTTGTTTGTTAGCTTTATATATCACTTGACAATATTAAGCATGCATGATCTGTATGCTTGTCCCAGACTCTCAAATATTAGGGTTGGGCGTGATGTCACATATCAGCTCATGGTAGTTGTGTCAGTAAAGTTAGTGTCAGTGCTGGTGCTGTGGCGTGGCAGTTTAAGCCTTTGCCTGTGGCATTGGCACCCCATAAGGGATTTTTTCCCGGCTACTCTTCTGATGTAGCTCTTTGCTCTTGCGTGGGAAAACAGTGGAAAATGGCCCGAGTGCTTGGGACCCTGCACCTGCGTGAGAGAACCCAAAGAAGCTCTTGGCTCCTGGCTTTGGATTGGTCCAGCTGTAGTCGCTGTGGCCATTTGGGAAGTGACCCAGCAGATGGAAGACCTTTCTCTCTGTATCTCTTTCTCTTTCTCTCTGTAACTCTATTTCTCAAATAAATAAAATCTTTAAAAAAAGTTAATGTCTTCCCTATTCTCCAAACTAGTTATCTTTCATGGTGAAAGAAGAATTGTGTTTCTGAACTTTGTATCATTTTATGGAGGTGGAACTACATAGGATGATGACTAAGATTTTTCCAAATTTAAGTAGCCTGGCCTTTTATGATGGAAGAAAAAGAAATGAATCTAAGAATTTGTGCAGGAAATAAAATGGAACGTGCTCCCTGAAATGTTCTCTTTTTGCCAAAATCCTCTGTTCATGAGAATCAATAAAAAAAATAAGCTACATTTGGAGCTTGTTAACTTTGTATTTATACATATTCTTCTTTTCCCAGCATGGATGCAAGCTTACTTGGTTTGCAAAATATGTATTTTGTCTCACCATTTAAGGATCAGTTCTGTTTTAAACAATGACAGCGGTAGCAACAATAATATTGATTGACTTCAGAGAACTACTTTACAGTATTTTATACATATTTTACTGCCTGATAATAAGTCAGGAAAGGAAACTCTGGCTTCCGTAATTTTTAAAGATCTAGTTGCAAAGGTAATGGTCATGTAGAAAGGCTAGTTCTTCTATTTGTTTTATATTCTATTAACACACAGAGGTCAAACATTCATTTCCATTTAGGTTATGTGTTTTAGAATATTTAAAATTTTGTTTTCTTTTCATGGAAATGAAAATATAACCATAGTCTTCAGAGAATGTTTATGCTTAGATGAAGGTTGATTTTTCATTGTGACAAATCAATAGCTAACTCTGTAGGGGAAAGCATAATTTGGTGATTAGAGTCTTGACCTTTCATTTTCCAGAAGTCTCTAGGGCACTGCATTTGTTGCTTGTGATGGTAGCTTTGGGGTCTCTATTCAGCTCCATGAAGAGAGAGGATGAGAATGCAAACATCAGGCAGGGAGTTGAGAAACCTAGATATTGGCTCCACTTTACCTAATCTTTCTGAGTCTCCTCTTATCTGTCTAACAGCATTAATTTATATGCCCAATCTATGTAATATGGCTGCTAGGAAGAATAGACTGGATGATGGATGTGAAAGTGCTTTGGAAACTAATTACTAAGGCAAATTGAAGGTATCAGAACTAAATAATATTATTATAGGCTGGGGTGGGCTAGAGGGCCAAATCCAGCCTGTCACTTGTGTTTGGTAAGTAAAGTTTTATTGGAACAGAGCCACATCCGCTTGTTACGTATTGTCTATGGCTGCTGTCATGCTACCATGGCAGAGTTGAGTGATTGTGACCAAAGCCACAAAGTCTGCAGAGTCTAAAATATATGCTAATAGGTTCATTGAAGAAGTCTGCTGACACCCGTTAAAGAACAAAGAGTATTTGACTATTTCTAAATGTGGGAAGCAATAAGCATCTATTATGAATATTTAGGAGAAAACTGAGGTGCATCAGCAGTTGATGAGAGAAAGCTCTTCTTTAATGAAGTGTGGCAGCTAATGAAGTAATGGTAGAAAATCTCCACTTTTATAATCCCACTGAAATAATTGGCGCAGGCAAGCACTGTCAATGAATATTAAAATTTTGCATAAAGTTATGCCAGGCAAAAATATACTCACATTGTGTGGAACGATGATACTACAGGTGACTTGCTCATTGTCAAAGGAAAAGCATTACTTTTCTAAGGGAGAGATCTGGTGGTCATTACTTGATCCATGTAATCAGACGCATCATCACCAAGTGAAACTGATGGACATGGCATGGCTCCTAATATGATGCTAGGTTTGGAAAACCATCATTTATGAAGTATTCTTGCCAAAACATGTAAGGTGAATTCAATAAAAATGTAGACATTATTTCTTGGTAATATGAAATATTGAGAATAGAAGAATCAGTTAAAAGACCAGCACCCAAAGTGTTGCCAAACAGCATCCAAAGTTGGTTGCCAAAAGACACCCAAAGTGTTGCTGTAGAACTTCCCAATCGGGTCCACTCACCTGGTGCACAGAAAGCCCATCACTGACATTGGTGGTGGCGGGAGAAAGTAGGTATTTATTGCAAAGTGCAGAGCAAGGAACTGGCAGCTATTGCTTAATTTCCAGGCTCCGTGAGGGGTTAGGGGTGAAGTTTCTTATATATTGAAATTGGGGCTGAGAGGGACG